CATCACACATAATGGAACGAGGTCCTGGATGGCAGCCAGCCTATTGTAAGGAACAAATGTTGTGTGCATCTCACCCTCTGCAAAGTGCTGTTTGCTGCACTGCTGTTATTTCAGGAAACAATTTCTGCAAACAGCTTGAAGAACTGGGCTCGAAACCTGGTTTCAGGACCCTTCCTGCTATAAGCCCCAATGTATGTTGAGGGCTGTGTGTGTGTCTGCATTTACATGTGCTGTCAAAGCCAGAAATGTGAACACACAAAAAGAACCACACTTGGTGCTCAATCAATACTCAGAGAAGTTTCTTGATAAAGTTTGTTAGAGGTGGCTGAGGCAAATTATGAGGAAAATAAAGATAAAAACCCTTTTCAGACTCCAAAGAATGCATTATTCTCAGTAACCTCAATTTGATTTTTACAACATCATTGTATGTAGATAAGAAGAGAATTATTCATACTCTCATTTAAAAAAAATTACAGCTTTATGGAGGTATAGTTAATCTACCATAAAATTCACCTATTTAAAGTATATAACTCAGTGGGTTTTAGCACATTCACAAGGCTGTACAACTGTCATCACTGTCTGAGTACCCCCTGAAGGAAACCCCATACCCATCAGCAGTCAATTCCTTTCTCTCCTCTTCCCTAGCAAGTGTTAATCTGCTTTTGGCCTCCATGGATTTTACTACCTGGGAGATTTCATCTAAACGGACTCATACATTATGTGGCCTTTTGAGTCTTGCTTCTTTCACTGAGAAGGTTTTCAAGGTTCATCCATTTTGTAGTGTGTATGTGTGTGTATCAGTACCTCATCTCATTTATAGGTGAATAATATGGTTCATAATACCGATGGATATTTTGTGTATCATGTATCCAAACCACTAGTTGATAAATATTTTGGTTGTTTCCACCTCTTGGCTATTATGAATAAATTGCTCTGAATGTTCATGTATGAGTATTAGTGTGAACATGGATTGTCTTCATTTCTCTTAGACTTTTACCCAGGATTGAAAATGGTGGGTTATTGGTGGTACTACATTTAACTTCGGAGGTTCTTCCAGTTCATTTCCCAAAATGATTGCACCATTTTCCATTCCCACAGAAATGTATGAGATCCAGTTTCTCAGTATCCTTTCCAATACTTGTTATTTTCTGTGCTTTTAATTATAGTCACCTAGCAGGCGTGAAGTGGCTCTACTTTCATTTTATGGGTCAAATGATTGAGGGTGGAGTGTTTGCCAAGGTGTATAGAACTAGTAGATGGTCAAACTAGAAATTTTTTCAAAGATCAAGTAGACTTACATGATGTATACGTTATTTATGTCCTTTGCTCTTCTTTTGATCTCTACAATAAGCATCATTGTTGTATTTGCTGTTACCAGCTTCACTGATAAATGCTCAGAGGATCTGGATTGGTCTAGCATGAGCCCAGGGGGCACAGTATTTAAGGAGACCTCACTCTTTGGTCCACTCTGCAACCCCAAGGGTGAGCTGCTCCGCTGGCTTCATCAGAGTTCTGACCTTGTTTGATGAGACAGAGCCACCAACACACTAAGTTGCCCACTGTTTCTCAATTTGGAAAAATTGGGATTCAAACCCAGGAAACCTGGCTTCAGAGCCCCAGCCACTGACCTCTATACAGTCTTTGATCTCCAAACTAGACTTTTTCCATTTCTTTCTCAAGGCCTAAACTTTCCAAAATTAGCCAGAACTTGGCCAAGTGGGGAACCCAAAGTAAAATCCCAGAGACGGGTTATGTGGGGAATAAGCAGAACTAATCAAGTTACTAGCCCCCCAGGCACTTACCACATGCTCCCCTGGAAGGATTTAAGTGGCCACACAGATCCCCTTAGGCACATCTGTGCTTATTACCCCATTTTGCATAAATCTGCCCAGTTCATGGAGGCCTCCCTGCAAGTGGCCAGATGGACTCTATCCTTAAGGATAACAGGTCATTCTGAACTGTCAGGACGATTAGCTCTGCAGGCCATAAGAAAAATACATGATTTCCTGCCAAGCGGGAGTGCATCTGCTGGCTGTCCAAGTGTCCTCAGTCAAGGATTCAGAAACCAGTGCTCACTGGCTACTCATGGTCTTTTGTCAGTATCAGAATTAGCTGGTCACTGGCTCTCAAATCATCATATTCACGATGGTATTGGTACTTGAATAGTTGTCCTGTTAGGATAGGGCCTCCCACAAGGCAGCACAACTATAAAAATATACATATGCACTACATGTGTTACCCCCGCCCCCCAGAGGTGATGGGCAGCTTTTGAAAAGACACTTGCACAAATCCTCTACCACAGTGTGTTCTCCCTCTGCTTCCTCTGTCCCTCAGGACTAAGTTCAGGTCAGCAGCTCCCACAGAGTGAGCTGTTCCAGTGTAGCTTGGCCTGGGGTGGCAGAGGTTTTATGGATGTCACAAACCCAGAGTTTTTCTTCAAGAAAAAAGGCTCTCCCTGGTGGCACAGCGGGTTAAAGCACAGCACTAAGAAGCTTAAGGCCACTTCCGCATGAGTTTGATCCCTGCCTGCCCCAGAGGTGACCACATGTTGCAGCAGACCTCTCCTGACCGGCCCGCGGCTCCCCTCAGCAGTGGACTTCGTCAATCTGCCTGTTCTCTCCCCACTCTGTCTCTGGTGAATCCTCTCACCCTCCACATCTCTGGCCTATACACGGTTTTGTATAAATAAATAAATCTTAAATAATAATAATAATAATAATAGACCCTCCCTGGTGGCGCAGCAGGTTAAAGCACAGCACTAAGAAGCTTAAGCCACTTCCATATGAGTTCGATCCCCGCCTGCCCCGGAGGTGACCACATGGCGTGGCAGACCTCTCCTGACCCGCCCGCTGCTCCCCTCAGCAGTGTACTTTGTCAGTTGGCCTGTTCTGCTCCCCACTCTGTCTCTGTGGATCCTCTCACCACCCCTGCCCCTCTGGCCTGAACCCCAGCTCAGTATGCATAAATAAATAAATCTTTTAAAAAAATGTGTATCACTAGAAATAATAAATTTGTTGAATGTTCTTTGCTTGGCATTTCAATTCATTTCTGACTTTGTTTCTCAAAGTCATTTTTATGGCCAGCAGTACCAGCACCCCCAGGGAGCTTGTTGGAAATGCAGAGTCTTGGACTACACCCAGGCCTCCTGAGTCAGAATCTGCCTCTTTGCAAAATCCCATGGTGATTTTTATGCACATTCAAGTTTGATAAGCTCTGTTCCATGTGTCTTTGATTCTCTGTTACCTTCTGCTAGGGTCTTCACCAAGTACATTCTTTGAGGTTAGGTTTTATGGTTGACATTCAGATCTTTTTGAAAAAATAAAAAGGGGCACACATACAGAAATTCTTTCCTTTGCCTTTGTATGATGTCATTCATTTTACCTGGCCTGCCACAAGAAAGAAAAAAGCATATTACATCCAAGTTACATATATATTTTAAGGCTAACTTCTTAATTGCAGCTCTTAAAGCAGCATGCTGGATTCCTCCATCATTAATAGAATCTCAAGTGTTGCTAAGATTAATTGAGAAACGCCTAAAGGTAACATAAACACATCACACAGTTTAATTCAAAACCCTATCAGCGAAGAATGAAGGTGCAATTAGTGATAAAGATGTTAATAATTAGTTGTGGTCTGTTAAATTTTATATTTAGTGCTTATATAGAGTGAAGAAAGAATTTCCTCACGAAGGCAGAAATTAATGTTTCACCTTGATTGCTATTTTAATGTGCTTATTTTAATGGGGCCATCCTGTAGAAACCCTCGGGCAGATTTCCAGTTTTACATAAATGTAGAATTAATTATTATGGAAACGTATAATTTTAGAGCTGGAACGAGCCTCACGGTCATTTAATCCAGTTCAGTCATTTTATAAGTAAGTCAGAGTTGGATGACTTACAGAATGCTGGGACCTGTGTCTCCAGCTCCAGGCCAGTGAAGGGGAAACCTTCCTTGCTCCCTCCGGTGAGAGTGCTTCCTCCGCCTCGGAATTCCTAAAGCACTCTTACTTGAATGGCTTCCAAGGTCCTCATCTCACTTTGGTTATGTTCAAGTTGCTTTTCATTTGTTAAGATTGGAGCCTTGAGAACCTTATCTGAACCATTTTTGTATTTCTTTACTTTTCCTTGCTTTGTACTACACAAATGTGTAGTTACACATCAAGTTTATATGCATTGGTGGATTGGAGCTGTGATTTTCCTGCTTGTTAGAAATCGGTAGCTTAAAGTTGGCTAGGGTGGAAATGGTCATTACACCATGGAAATAGAAAAATGCTACAAATCTGGGCTTCCTCCCCCACACCCTTGAAGTTACTTGTCAGACACCTCAGTTCACCACTGTTTATAGGGTTTTCCTAAGGTCTCACAGGCAGAGAAGTCTTGATGACATCTAAAGGTCCACACCACGGTGAGGACAATGGCTCACGCAATGTTGGCATGGGTTGCCTCCAGAGTGATGACGTAGTCAATGGTTCAGTCCCCTTTCATTTCTTCAGGGACAAGTTAGGCCCAGTGCATGTCAGGACTGCATTGATATTTGATTAATCACCACTTACCTGGACAAGCTATTTAGGTATGAATAGCAATGGAAATAGGATCTAAACTACCAAGCAATCCCCAACATTGAGTGGAAAAATAACCCACAGATTACTATCAGAAAAAAGTGAATAGGAAGTTACTGTGGCTGAAATTATAATTATGCCTTCATACTTGTCAAATATTGCTGATGATACATACAACCAATACCCTAAGCCCTTGGTGTAAGTCCCGCACTCACAACAGCTTACCGCTCTGACCTCATCTCTAACCATCTCTAACCTCATCCTGCGCCCTAATATTTGTGGTGCTTCCTTCTGTGTAAGTGCCCTCTCTCTACCTCCCAGCTCTCACAGGCTCTTTCCCAGCCTTCCAATCTGCTCAGTCCCCTCAGGACATTCAGAAATTCTGGGTTAGCCTGAAAATTTCTGTGACTCAATTCATTTCCTCACGTGTGTTTCTCCTTAGGACCAGGACCCGAGGTCCCATCGGCCCTGGCAAGTATGGCTATGGGAAGGCCCCATACATCTTACCACTGCAGACGGATTCTGCACACTCACCCCAGAGGCTTCGGAGGCAGAGGCCAACATCCCCGCATTCCAGGTCCCAGGGAGCATCTGGTCTTAGCCATGACTACAGCCCGCCTGCCCACCAGGCCCCTCACCATGGGCCTCTGTACAGGAGTGACAATGGCCCTGGTTCAGCTCTGCAGGGCTCAGAGGCCTCCATCTACCAACTGCCTCTGACCAATGGCCAAGGCTACCCTGCAGCTTCGAGTCTCTTCCACAGCCCAGAAGCAAGGAACAGCCATGGCCTGGGGACCCCCAGAGCAACCCAGAGTTTCTCCCAGCCTGCCCGGGCTGCAGCCATCTCCTGCATTGGGGCCTATCGGCAGTACAAGCTGTGCAACACCAACGTGAGTACAGTCCATCTCATTCTGGGCCTGGGAGCAGCAGGCGTGCCTGCCTCTCTGTGAGTTGGCAGTGAACAAGTAGAGAGAGTGAAGGCTCAGCTTTTTAGGGCACATTCATTTACCAAATTTTCACCATCCCTTCCTTTAGTAACTTATCAGACACTATTGCTACATACCAAATGATCTTGAAATTCTTAATGGCTTTATATCTATAATACTGATTCGTGCAGTTTGCCACCCATGGTTATGCTCAAAGACATGGGTGTTTGAGGAGGTTTAATTAGCATAGGTACCATCCACTAGTTTTTCTGGAGTTTTCCTGCTACTCCAGGCGTGGACATTTTAGATACTGTATCATGAAGAAGTCTGTTAGGGAATAACTTGCTGAAGATACCACAGCCAGTGAATAGTACTGGCAGGTTGGATATGGCAGGTATGGTAAGGTGACCAGGTATGTTTTTTTAAACATCTGTTTAAGACTGTATATATGAGATAAACGGATAAGAGAGTGTTTAAAGGTTAAATTTCCAAGTTTCTATATTTTATTAATAATTTAATCTTCCTTAACGCTCTATTACTGGGTAACAGGACAGCTGTTACATATTAGCTTCAATTTCCTCATTAAAAATATATTTCCTGCTATAGAGTCCATAGAAATGACTTAATTTGTGATTCTAATAATTCCTCTGAATGTCTGGGTAGCCTTTGAGCTTGTTCATCCACTGAAAGACTTTTAGAATGATTCATTTTTGTAAAACAGTCATTTTTCCAAAGCTGTTACTTGGCAGCCGGTAGGTCTTAATTAGGTATTATTGCTTATTTTGTAATAGTCCAGGCACCATGCAAAATATTAATCCTACTTTCAACACCCTAGAGTTTGTTATGAAGATCAAATGAAGTGAAGTGCTTTGCAAAAAAGATAAAACAGATAAAAAAAGCACAAGTAATAAACAAACAAAACAGAACAAAACAAAGTCTTAGATTACAAGATCACAATTGGATTGTGGTTGTACCAAAATAGGAGGAGGAAGCAAAATAGCAAATCAGGTAAAAGGAGTCAATTAAATATGAAGAATGGACAATAGATTTTCAGTGGTGAACATTATATAGCGTTTACAGATGTTGATTTATAATGCTGTATACCTGAAACATGTCTAGTGGGAAACTAGTGTTACTTCAAAAAAAGAAAATGAAGGAAAAAAGAGATGGAAACAGCCCAAGTGTATAACAACATATGAATTAAGATATAAGTATGAGATAATTATACTTTGGAATATTATTCAGTCATCAAAAGGAACGAAACTCTTACAGATGCTACAACATGGCTGTACCCTGGAAAGCACCATGCTTTCCATTTGCAAAGACAATTCTTGCATGATTCCAAAAATTATATGATTCGTAAAGACAGTGAGTAGATTAAAGGCTACCAGTTATGGGATAAGGGTGAGAAGAGAGTGAATGGGCTGTGATTGTTTTATGAATACAGAATTTCTGTTTGGGACAATGAAGAAATTCTGGTGATAGCAGTAATAGTTTTTCAATTTTTCAAATATACTTAATGATATAGAATCCTAATTTAAAAATGATTGTAGTAATAAGGTTTATGTTATGTCTGTTTTATCACAATAAAACACACATACATGCATAAAAGAAATGCAATTCTTTTTTAATGTGGAATAGATTTTCCCATTGTCTCTTAATTTTGAAGCCATTAATAAAAGGGAAAATAGAGGGTATTAGTATATATGTGAAGTTATTAGCAACTTAGCATTTCTTTCATGTAAGCTACATATTTCAGTGTGCTTCATGCCAGTCCTGTGCCACCAGTAGCAAGGCTGCCTTTCTCTGGGTAGAAGCTGTGGCTCCCCTGGGTGCTGGGATAACTTTACCATTGAGGAGTTTGAATAGCAAAGAATCTTAGAACATTATGTGAATTCATGATATTGTCTCAAATGCAGGACTAAGAAATACTGTTGACAATGCATTGAGCAGTTTAATTCTCTTCTCTTTGCTGTCATATTTTGCAGTGTCCTACAAATGGACCCCATCACCCCAAGTCACATTTTACTTCCCCTTACTGAGAGTTGTCATCTCTTAGAGGCCTTATCACTGCCTGTCTTCTTTTTGCAAGCCCATGGCGTCTTGTCATAGCCCATGAATGTTTTTTTTTTAAGATTTATTTATTTGTGCATACAGAACTAGAGTACAGGCCAGAGGCTCAGGGGTGATGAGAGGCTTCACCAGAGACAGAGTGGGGAACAGAACAGGCAGATTGACGAAGTACACTGCTGAGGGGAGCAGCGGGTGGGTCAGGAGAGGTCTGCCACACCATGTGGATCTCCTCTGGGGCAGGCAGGAATTGAACTCACCCCATGAATGTTCTTAAACCCAGCATTATTCCTAATCCCCCCCCCCCAATACTCCTTGAATTGCTGGTTTGCTGGAATGTCTAACAGGATCAGCATATAGTTGTACAAACAACTTTGATTTGTTGCAATGGAAGGAGCCAGGACAATCAACAAAGGGAAAAAGACATGAAGGGGTCAGTCCTACAGGGAAAGAGGCACAAGTTTCCAAGTGTCTTCTTCTATTGCAGACACACACAATGTGACTGTAGCAATGAGTTCTTGGGAGATTTAGTCTACCAGGGAACCTCATTGAAGACTTTGTGCCCAAAGCTTCATTTGGGGACTGATCACACAGTCTGCTACATACCAGTATTTCAAGGCTCTGAAATGGGAATTGGGTGTTTAGCACGTATCTTAGCATTTTTACAAATAATTTAGGTGCAGTGATAGGTTTTTATCTCTTTGGGAGATGGTGGAAGCCCTTCTAAATTTCCAGTAGCCAGAAGCCAGTCTCCCTTCTGCCATGTCATCTTTCTGCCCCTCTCCTGTGGGCCCTTGTACTCCTGCATCTCGGCATTGGCAACCTTGCAGACAATTATTATCCTCCCTGATGTGTATTATGAGAGGATGATATGATTCAAATTATGTAAATATTCCCACTCAAGGAGGAAAGAGTTAAAGAGTAATATTGTGAAAAATCTTACTAACTTAATTGGGGATGTTGTGGGTCATCACTTATCTCTTCTCCAATGATTAAAAACTAATGTGTTTAGACACCTCTGCAGATGTTTTCTGGAAAAAGAAAAAGAAGGGGAGGTAGGCCAGGGCAGGCTGGCAATATCCACTGACTTCAGAACTCCATCCCATTAACTGTGGATAATTAAATGTCTAGTATATTTCACCTCAGTTCTTGACAGGACACCCCATTTCTAAGATGACCCCCACAGACGAGGGCTCAGTTCTCAGAAGTGAACATGGTAATGAACATGTCGGTGGCCAGGACTAGTGGGAATGTCTCTGTAGCCTCCTTCTCACAGTGGCTCCTGGGGCGCCTGACCTCAGCATCCTCATGGTCAGGAAAAGCAGCTGCCTTGAGTCATCATATTAAGTGAGGAGGGAGTAGTGAGTTGGGCTTCCAAGGAAGGCCAGAAAAGAAAAAACTGCATTTAGGGGCAAAAGAATCAACTTAGTCAAAGAAGGCAGGGTTGTGCCAGAATCTAGGTAATGTGACACCTGCTGGCTAGTAGGGAGCCCCCCTTTGTTTCCCTTCTGCCTCCTTCTGTCCAATTTATTTTTATTTTCTTGAGTGATATATAATTGACATAAACATTATGTTTGGTTTGGGGTACAACATAATGACTCTACCTACTAAATATTGCAGAATGATCACCACCATAAATCTAGTGAACAATCATTACCACAGAGTTACACAATTTTTTTTCTTTTAAGGTCTACTATTTAGCAACTTTCAAACACAAAATGGAGCATTTTTTTAAAAGATTTATTTATTTACTCATACAGAACTGGGGTACAGGCCAGAGATGCGGAGGATGGGAGAAGCCACCAGAGACAGAGTGGGGAGCAGAACAAGCAGATAGATGAAGTACACTGCTGAGGGGAACAGCGGGTGGGTCACGAGGGGTCTGTCCACCATGTGGGTCAGCTCCAGGGCAGGCAGGGATTGAACTCATGCAGAAATGAATGGCTTAAGCTTCTTAGTGCTGTGCTTTAACCCACTGCGCCACCAGGGAGGGCCCACAAAGTGCAGCATTTTTTTTTTTATTAAAAAGTTTATTTTTACATCATTTTGCCCATTTTTTTTTTCCATCTCAATCGTAATCCCTCTAGTCACCATTCTGGATATGACACCTAGGGCTTACTTATTTTGTGACTGGAAGTTTGTACCTCTGGACCATTTTCGTGCACTCAACCCTATCCACTTGAAAAAGCCCCAGTCTCAATAGAAAATTATTCTTTAACACCTCAAAATATAGAAATGTCACATGAGCCTTCCTGAACTCTCACACATGAAATAGATGGCTGGTGAAATAAACACAGTGAAAAGTCAGAAAGAAATTCTAATCACTGGGTTTAACTGGATGTGAGATCTTCAAGACAGAAGGGGAATGGTGAGGTTGGGGGCAAGACTGAACTGGACATAAACTCCAGCATTGACACTGGGGATCCAGGTTTCCTTGAGTAAGTTGCTTGACTCCCTGAGACCCATTTGTAAAGTGGGGATTATATGAATAATATCTGTTCTACACGGTTGAGGTAAGATTCAGATCAGATAGCTAAGGAGCATAGTGCTCATGCACTTAGCAAATAAACCATTTGGGCCTGTATAAGCAAAGGTGGCTTACATCTCTCTCTCTGCAGACAGGAAAGGAGTATATTCTCCCTGTATCTGACTTGCTTCTAATTTCTGAGTGCTGAGTCACAAAATTATAGATGAAATGGTCTGATTTGCTCAGAGTCCCCTTTCTGTCCCCTGGTTTAGCTGTGGCTGAGAGTTCTTTCGTATTGCCTAACAGTAAAATAAGATTGCTGAGAGACCCTGCATTCCAGCCCAGGGTGATGTGGTTTCAATGTAATCACCCTTGGGTCACGTATAAAGTGATGAAAGTGAAACTGTAGATAACTTCACGACAATGG